CAGACTCGCTCGCCAGATTTATTCATACCTGTTTACACACTAGATCACCAGATTAGCACAGACTCGCTCGCCAGATTTCCACACATTCATTCACCAGATTTTTTCATACTTGTTTACACACGAGATCACCAGATTAGCACAGACTCGCTCGCCACATTTTTTCATACTTGTTTACACACTAGATCACCAGATTAGCACAGACTCGCTTGCCAGATTTATTCATACCTGTTTACACACTAGATCACCAGATTAGCACAGACTCGCTCGCCAGATTTCCACACATTCATTCACCAGATTTATTCACACCTGATCACCAAATGTTCACACACTAGATCACCAGATTTCCACACTCAAAATCACATTACTCCAACTAGGACTGGAACCAATGTCCTAGGGGCTGCATTTGCTAACGCTGTTGGGGAGGGTTTAAACTAATGTGGCAGGGGGATGGGAATCAAATGAGGAGGTTAGTGGACAGTAAGGAGGTAGTAACTAAAGCCTGTAAGGAACTAGATAATGAAGTCAGTGTGACTAAGGGGAAGAGTAGGCAGAGAGCAGATGATGAATGCAAAGGGACAGGTGGTCTGAGGTGCATTTGTTTTAATGCGAGAAGTGTAGTAGGTAAGGCAGATGAACTTTGGGCTTGGATTGGTACCTGGGAGTATGATGTTATTGCTATTACTGAGACTTGGTTGAGGGAAGGGCAAGATTGGCAACAAAATATCCCAGGATATAGATGCTTCAGGCGGGATAGAGAGGGAGGTAAAAGGGGTGGAGGAGTTGCATTACTGGTCAAAGAGGATATCACAGCTGTGCTGAAGGAGGGCACTATGGAGGACTTGAGCAGAGAGGCAATATGGGCAGAGCTCAGAAATAGGAAGGGTGCGGTGACAATGTTGGGGCTGTACTACAGGCCTTCCAACAGCGAGCGTGAGATAGAGGTACAAATATGTAGACAGATTATGGAAAGATGTCGGAGCAACAGGGTGGTAGTGATGGGAGATTTTAATCTTCCCAACATTGACTGGGATTCACTTAGTGTTAGGGGTTTAGATGGAGCAGAATTTGTAAGGAGCATCCAGGAGGGTTTTATAGAGCAGTATGTAAATAGTCCAACTCGGGAAGGGGCCATACTGGACCTGGTGTTGGGGAATGAGCCCAGCCAGGTGGTTGAAGTTTCAGTAGGGGATTACTTTGGGAATAGTGATCACAATTCCGTAAGTTTTAGAATACTGATGGACAAAGACGAGAGTGGTCCTAAAGGAAGAGTGCTAAATAGGGGGAAGGCCAACTATAGCAAAATTCGGCAGGAGCTGGGGAACGTGGATTGGGATCAGCTGTTTGAGGGTAAATCCACATTTGATATGTGGGAGGCTTTTAAAGAGAGGTTGATTAGAGTGCAGGACAGACATATCCCTGTGAAAATGAGGGATAGAAAGGGCAAGATTAGGGAACCATGGATGACAGGTGAAATTGTGGGACTTGCAAAGAGGAAAAAGGAAGCATACGTAAGGTCTAGGCAACTGAAAACAGACAAAGCTTTGGAAGAATATCGGGAAAGTAGGTCCAATCTGAAACGAGGAATTAAGAGGCTAAAAGGGGTCATGAAATATCTTTAGCAAACAGGGTTAAGGAAAATCCCAAAGCCTTTTATTCATACATAAGGAGCAAGAGGAGAGGGACATGACGGATGTTGAGGTTAGGGATAGATATTTGATTCTCTAGGTCAAATCGGCATAAAGAGGGGGGAAGTGTTGGGTATTCTAAAAGGCATGATGGTGGACAAATCCCTAGGTCTGGATGGGATCTATCCCAGGTTACTGAGGGAAGCGATGAGAGGAAATAGCTGGGGCCTTAACAGATATCTTTGCAGCATCCTTGAACACGGGTAAGGTCCCGGAGGACTGGAGAATTGCTAATGTTGTCCCCTTGTTTAAGAAGGGTAGCAAAGATAATCCAGGTAATTATAGACCGGTGAGCCTGACGTCAGTGGTGGGGAAGCTGGTAGAGAAGATACCGAGGGATAGGATCTATTTACATTTGGAAGAAAATGGGCTTATTAGTGATAGGCAGCATGGTTTTGTGCAGGGAAGGTCATGTCTTACCAACTTGATAGAATTCTTTGAGGAAGTGACAAAGTTGATAGATGAGGGAAGGGCTGTGGATGTCATATACATGGACTTCAGTAAGGCGTTTGATAAGGTTCCCCATGGTAGGCTGATGGAGAAAGTGAACTCTCATGGGGTCCAGGGTGTACTAGCTAGATGGATAGAGAACTGGCTGGGCAACAGGAGACAGGTTTGTAGTGGAAGGGAGTTTCTCAATATGGAGAACTGTGACCAACGGTGTTCCTCAGGGATCTGTGTTGGGACCACTGTTGTTTGTGATATACATAAATGATCTGGAGGAAGGTATAGATGGTCTGATTAGCAGGTTTGCAGATGACACTAAGATTGATGGAGTAGCAGATAGTGAAGGTGACTGTCGGAGAATGCAGCAGAATATAGATAGATTGGAGAGTTGGGCGGAGAAATGGCAGATGCAGTTCAATCCAGGCAAATGCGAGGTGATGCATTTTGGAAGATCCAATTCAAGAGCGAACTATACAGTAAATGGAAAAGCCCTGGGGAAAATTGATGCACAGAGAGATCTGGGTGTTCAGGTCCATTGTACCCTGAAGGTGGCAACGCAGGTCGATAGAGTGGTCAAGAAGGCATACGGCATGCTTTCATTCATTCCACGGGGTATTGAGTACAAGAGTTGGCAGGTCATGTTGCAGTTGTATAGGACTTTGGTTCGACCACATTTGGAATACTGCATACAGTTCTGGTCACCACATTACCAAAAGAATGTGGATGCTTTGGAGAGGGTGCAGAGGAGGTTCACCAGGATGTTGCCTGATATGAAGGGTGCTAGCTATGAAGACCGGTTGAGTAGATTAGGATTATTTACATTAGAAAGATGGAGGTTGAGCGGGGACCTGATTGAGGTCTACAAAATCATGAGAGGTATAGACAGGGTGGATAGCAAGAAGCTTTTTCCCAGAGTGGGGGACTCAATTACTAGGGGTCACTATTGCAAGGTGAGAGGGGAAAAGTTTAAGGGAGATATGCGTGGAAAGTTCTTTACGCAGAGGGTGGTGGGTGCCTGGAACCCGTTGCCATCGGAGGTGGTAGAGGCAGGCACGATAGCGTCATTTAAGATGTATCTAGACAGATACATGATTGGGCAGGGAGCAGAGGGATACAGATCCTTGGAAAGCAGGCAACAGGTTTAGATAGAGGATCTAGATCGGCGCAGGCTTGGAGGGCCGAAGGGCCTGTTCCTGTGCTGCAATTTTCTTTGTCTTGTTCTTTGTTCCATTGTAGTTTCTATTTTGAAAGACAGTCACTGGGCAATGCTTGGTTATAACCTGACCACAGTCACATGAGTCACATTCATATTGAAGAGATGTGAACATTTATACATGATATTTTCTTCTAATTAAATCTCAAATATTTTGAAGTGGAGGAGCTAGATTTTTGGCAAGTTACCTGGACATCGGTACAACTTCTTGGCTTGGGCAATATCACCTTTGCTCAGTCTTACTCTCTGTCCGATGGGAGGTCTCATGCCATGTTCATCTCTACGGGGAAGGATGGTATCCAAGAAAACACCCCTTTGGAACAAACAGAGAGCAGCAAACCATGAATATGTTAGAGTCAGAAATGGTGGGGTCATTACAACACAATGGCTTTGTAGCAATCAAGTCAGAATTCTGTCGACAAATGCAAAAGCAACTGGCGCACTGAGCTGGGTGTCCATAACATGGTTATAGGGAACAGGCTGTGTCAGATTAACTCAGTATAAGTGAGGCAGAATGGTGTTTGAACACTGCACTCAATTACCAACCTATTTCTCAATTTTTTAATCCTTTAGAAAGATTATTATTTTTGTTTCAGTCTCCCCCCTCCTCTGCTGGATCTATCATTCTCTCACAGTCTTTATTTCTCTCACTGTCTCCCTGTCCTTTCCTCCTCTTCCTGTAGCAATTAGATATGTTAGAAGCTGACAGAGTAGCCACAATCAAAGCCAGGATAATGAAACCTACGGGTTGATACAAAAGCCTGCAAAATCAGATCAGCTACTGAAGGCCTCAGCCTTGCAAGGCCTAGTAGCAGAGGAGGCTAGTTGGAGTCAGGATGGGGTAGTGGGGGTTGGGAACAGATAGGCAAGTAGATGTGAGAAACAGACTATTCATGACTTTATGGAAGCAAGCTCAAAGGGCCAAATGGTCTAAACTTGCACCAGATCCTTTTCTCCTTACCAGGATGTTTTCTGACACTGCCTGGGATTTATGGTTATCCTGACCAAGGCAGCCTCAGTAGTTTCATGGAGGAAATGGGTGAACGTGACTCTCTCCAAAGCGACAGGTGGTAAAAGACAGGCAGAGAAGTAGACAAAATAGAGTTTAAGGATGAGATTGCAGAGCACTCGAAAGTGCATCATAAAATAGGGCTGAGTCAGCACAGCTTTGTCAAGGGGAGGTCATGCCTGATAAACTTGTTAGAATTCTTTGAGGAGGTAATGAGCAAGTTAGACAAAGGAGAGCCAGTGGATGTGATGTATTGCATTTGATAAGGTGTCGCACAGGAGGCTGCTAAATATGACAAGACCCCCATGGTGTTCAGGGCAAGGTACTGGCATGGATTGAGGATTGGCTGACCAGTAGAAGTCAGAGAGTAGTATCAAGAACGGGGTCTTTTTCAGGATAGCAGCCAGTGACTAGTGGAGTTCCGCAGTGGTCACTGTTAGGACTACAACCATTCAGGTTATACATTAATGATCTGGACAATAGAACTAAAGGCATTGTTGCTAAATTTGCAGATGATAGGTGGAGGGATAGGTTGTTTTGAGGAAGTGGGGGAGGTGCAGAAGGACTTCGACAGGCTAGGAGAGTGGGCAAAGAAGTGGCAGATGGAATACAATGTGGAAAAGTGTGAAGTTATGCACTTTGCTAGAAAGAATAAAGGCATAGATGATTTTCTAAAAAGGGAAATACAACAGAAATCTGAAGCACAAAGGGACTTGGGAGTCCTAGTTCAGAATTCTCTGAAGGATAACATGCAAGGTCAGTTGGCAGTTAGGAAGGAAAATGCAATGTTAGCATTCATTTCAAGAGGTTTAAAATACAAAAGCAGAGATGTACTGCTGAGGCTGTATCAGGCATTGGTCAGAATGCATTTGGAATATTGTGGGCCCTGTATCTAAGGAAGGATGTGCTGGCATTAGAGGGGCTCAGAGGAGGTTTGCAAGAATGATCCTAGAGATGAAGGGTTGGTCATATGAGGAGCAGATGTGAACTCTGAGTCTGAACTCGTTGGAGCTTACAAGAATAATGGGCGATCTGGGATTGAAACTTACAGAATACTGACCGGACCAGATAGAGTGGACATGGAAAAGAGGTTTCCACTAGTAGGAGAGACTAGGACCTGAGCGCACAGCCTCAGAGGGAAGGGACGACTCTTTAGAAACAAGATGAGGAATTTCTTCAGCCAGAGGGTGGTAAATCTATGGAACCCATTGCCACAGAGGGCTGTGGAGGCCAAGTCATTGAGTGTATTTAAGACAGAGATAGATAGGTTCTTGATCAGTAAGGAGACCAAGGGTTATGGGGAGAAGGCAGGAGAATAAGGTTGGGAAGCATATCAGCCATGACAGAATAGCAGAGAAGACTCATTGGGCTGAATGGCCTAATTCTGTTCCTGCATCTAATGGGAGATTAAAAGATAGACAGGAAAAAAAAGGAAAAAGCTGTGAACCCAATGAGAGGAGAGAGGAAAATCGAAACGAGGAGACTCAGGAATAGCTCAGCGTCCATTGAGTGATCATTCAGCCTGAACTTGTTACCATCCACAGGAAGCGTGTGAAGAACTAAATTGGCAGAACCTTGAAGTCCAACCTGGAGAAGGTGTTCCTAGCATAGTGCATGATGCTGTCAAAGTCGTATGTCTCTCCCAAGGAATTGACCTCAGCGGGCTCCATCTTCAGGAAGTTGTACTCCTGCCCTGTGGTACAACAACAACCAGTGTTACTGTGTGACTGTGGGAGGCATCACAGAGAACTGCAGTCTCAGGTTTTGTCAAAGGTGAAGGTTTGAAGGCTTATCTATTTTCGAAAGGATCGTGACCGACAGTGCCGCATTACGCCCATTCACCGGCCCTTTGATATCTAATTGCTCAGTAACTTGAGCATTTTAGTCAGGAACAAATAAGCCTCATAAAAATAAATCAGCAATTCGTTCAACTGTTCTGACCAGAATAAACTGGCAATTCAAAGGTACTTACCAAATGATTGAGTTAGTTTTGGAAAGCAAGTGTTTTGCAATTTTAGCAAGACAGCAGTTTACCAAAGAAAGTTGAATGAAAAATTCATTTAAAAAATTAACAAATCAGTGTAAGACACTGATTTCTCGTGTGGTTTGTATAGTGTTGTAACTCAATAGAAGGTGTATTGTCAGGGAGACCAGCTGCTCCTTTGTCAGAGCCACACACTCAAATTGGAGTCTCAATGACTGGTCTTGGTTTTCTTTCCCACCAATTAACAGCAAAACATATCGATCAGAGCACACTCAAAACTTCTTTATTTCATCAACATCTACCAGTTCAGGTTCACCCTTTGACTTTAGTTTATTGGAGGTGGCACTGTGGCTCAGTGGTTAGCACTGCTGCCTCAGTAGTGCCAGGGACCTGGGTTCAATTCCGACGTCAGGTGACAGTCTGTGTGGAGTTTGCACATTCTCCCAGTGTCTGCTTAGGTTTCCTCCGGGTGCTCCATTTTCCTCCCACAGTCCAAACATGTGCAGGTTAGGCTGGATTGTCCATGCTAAATTGCCCATAGTGTCCAGGGATGCGCAGGCGAGGTGAATTAGCCATGGGAAATACAGCGTTACAGGGATAGGGTACACAGGTAGGTCTGGATACTTCATAGGGTCGGTGTAGACTCAATGGGCTGAATGACCTGCTTACACACTGGTCTATGAACCAGACCCAGTCCCTGAAGTGATCCAGTTTGACCCATTCCGAACCCTTCAGTGGTCTGTCCTGACCATTCTCAGAAATCTACCAAGTGATAGCAAGAGTTCAGGGACAGTATGTCCCTGTTAGGGTGAAGGGAAAAGCTGGCAGGTTTAGGGATCCCTGGCTGATGAGGGATACTGAGGCTCTGGTCAGGAAAAGAAGAAGGCACATTGGGTTTAAGCTATCGGGCTCAAGTAAATCCCGAGATGACTATAAAAACTGTAGGGGCACACTCAAGAACTGAAATCAGAAGAGTAAAAAGAGGGTATGAGATATCCATTTCAAGCCCAGCGACTCCCACAGCTACCTAGAATACACTTCCTCCCACCCACCTTCCTGTAAAAATGCCATCCCCTATTCCCAATTCCTTCGCCTCCGCCGCATCTGCTCCCAGGATGAGGCATTCCACTCCCGTACATCTCAGTTGTCCTCATTTTTCAAGGACCGCAACTTCCCCCCCTCAGTGGTCGAGAACACCCTCAATCGTGTCTCCCACATTTCCCACAACTCATCCCTCACACCCCGTCCCCGCAATAAGAACCAAAAAAGAATTCCCCTCGTCCTCACGTACCACCCCACCAACCTCCAGATCCAATGCATCATCCTCCGACACTTCCGCCATCTGCAATCCGACCCCACCACCAAAGACATCTTTCCCTCCCCACCCTTATCTGCTTTCCGGAGGGACAACTCTCTCTGTGACTCCCTTGTCCGCTCCGCACTCCCCTCCAGCCCCACCACACCCGGCACTTTTCCCTGCAACCGCAGGAAGTGCTACACCTGCCCCCACACCTCCTCCCTCACCCCCATCCCAGGCCCCAAGAAGACTTTCCACATCAAGCAGATGTTCACCTACACATCTGCCAATGTGGTATACTGCATCCGCTGTATCCGTTGTGGCCTCCTCTACATCGGGGAAACCAAGCGGAGGCTCGGGGACCGCTTTGCAGAATACGCTTGGTTCGCAATAAACAACTGCACCTCCCAGTCGCAAACCATTTCAACTCCCCCTCCCATTCCTCAGACGACATGTCCATCCTGGGCCTCCTGCAGTGCCACAACGATGCCACCCGAAGGTTGCAGGAACGGCAACTCATATACCACTTGGGAACCCTGCAGCCCAATGGTATCAATG